CGCATCGCACCAGGCTTCGGACATTCCATCTTGACACATTCCGCATTCACTAGCCCGTGGGAGAAGACGTTTTTGTTGAGAAGCGATGTGGTTTGTTGGATAATTGACGATGTCGGATGGGCAAGTCGACGGTGAAATTGTGACCAGGCTGATGACAGATTGGGGGACATGGAGGGAAGGGTGAAATAAATGCAAGATGATGCAAAATGTGATGTTTAAAACGTGGGGCAAGAGTCTGGTTGGGTATTGACTATTTGACTTCCATACCTTAAGCCCAAAAACTCGTGATTTCCAACCGCGCTGTGATGGCAAGTGTAAATAAGTAAAAGAATACGTTGGAAGAAGGCGGAAGAAAGGTGGTATGACAATGAATCAGTCCCGCATGCGAGAAATAGCAAAGAAAGTTCAGTCGTGCATGGAGAAAAAGGTGTGCAAAAAGGTAAAAAAAAGTGTGGTCCGTACCGGACTCGAACCGGTATCCTCCTACAGCCCGCAGGCGAAGTGAATACACACTCCAGGAATGTTGCTCATTACACCAACGAACTACGGAAGGAGCTTATATAGCACGTTCAGGGTCGGGACTTGGGGCGGGTTCGGATGCCCAGGACTGCAGGCGGGGTGCGCATGAGGGGCAGGCACGGGTCACCAGTAGCTAGAAGGGCAAGGGCGGCATGTAAAGGGGCAAGCAAGAGCGGCGTGCAGGTAGAAGGCAAGAACGACACCACCTTAGCTGGAGACTTAGAGTTCGGATGACTAATGTACTTAGGTCTAGGCAGGATGGGCAGGCACGAGTCCGGCGGAGGCAGGAGCGGCAGGCAAGAATGGCAGGCAAAAGCGGCAAGCAGAAGGAAGGAACGGAAAAAGAAAGAGGGTCGCACTCCAGCCGCTAACAATCTCAGGCGCACTAGAGGCGTGTTCGGGTCCCGTCCGCAATAAACGTGTTAACGTGCAAGGTCCGCAGCTACAATCCTGCAACATTAAAACAGCGTTAAGGTAGGCCAAGACTTTGGCCGTAAGTTGAAAAGAGGTGCTTAACATTGGAATCGGTGGCTCTCCTCTTTTCCATCTTTCTTTTTTCTTTCTCTTTTCCTACTATCCTTTTTATCATCACCACCATCCTTTTTATCATCACCACCATCCTTTTCATTATTACCACTATCCTTTCCATTATTACCACCATCCTTTTCATCATTACCACTATCCTTTTCATCATTATCAAATACCACCATCCTTTTCATCCTCAACACTATCCCTCTTATCATCACCACCATCCTTTTCATCATCACCTCACCGGTGAGATGGACGATGAGGCTGAATCCCCGGGCCTACAAGGTCGCGAGAGGTCTCCCCGCTCTCCCACACCATCAAACGACCATCGAATTGCCCTCTGGGCACAGGAAACGCGAAGATTTGCCGGCGAACTGATCGTCGATGCTGCCCCCGATGTGAGTTTCTTTGCACGAATTGCCGGCACGTCTCGACTTTGGGTGAATACCGTGCCGCAGATTATCATTTTCTGCGATGGGTCGAGCAGGATTGTTCCGACCATGACGTTCAAGGGTACCAATGGTGGTTACGGGGTGGTGGTTCGAAACCCATGGGATGTCGACAACCGGAACGGCCAGGGCAGACTCGGGCAAGGAGAGGCTAGTACTGGCTCTGCGCTCTCTGGCTTCAGATTTGAACGAGGATTTTACATACGGTCCTGGTCCAACCAGAAGATGTACTCCTTTACTGAAGCCGAGATGGCGGCCATTGCCCAATCCATCGACACTGCCCTCCGTCTAAAACACCAGCACAACCCTGAAACATTTGACGTTGAGATCTTCACCGACTCGAAGCCGTGCTTTCATCGCATTGTCCGCGACCTGAACTACAGACAAGACAGGTTCTTTTTCCGGCATACTGAGCCTGTTATGCGAGCCTTGATCTGGCTATCGCACCGTCTGAAGGAGATGGGCGGCAGGCTGAAGGTGCGTTGGAACCCTCGAAGGTGTGCAACTGGCCCCGTGTTGGCGGATAATGCAGCGGGTGTGCACTCCAGGGGTGTCAATGCTGAAGGCTTTAGTCAGCGTAACTTGCCGGTGGATCAGAGAGATGGCATCCTCGACAAGCTGCATGAACAGATCAGTGCTGCTGTTCGGGAGCGTGCGACCCCCCCTGCTGTTTCGATGCCAGATTGGTTCGATTGAGATGGCCTTTTCTGGTGATGGATCGGAACCTGACTAAAGTGGCGGTGGTATTTGCATGTGTGTACGCATGCTTTTGTTGTAATACTCAGTGGCATCGTTTAACACATGGTATTGGCGTTGGGGTGTTGGCATTTTGTGAATGTCCTGTTATTATACTAGTGTCAGGAAGTTCGTCGTTTCCTTTGCGAATAAAAGAGTGCTCTGGAGTGTCCAATTGTGAAGGAGATTCTTTGCTCCATCTCACATGTATGTGGCTTGTGATCGATGCATACCGAAGCAGTAGCCTATAGGGGCCATTAAGGCTTATTGGGGGCCTACAAGGGTTTTTTTATTTGTAAGGCATGGGCTTTCAGTAAGGATTGTTAGTATTAAAAAGGATTGTTAGGCTGAGGGAAGCCTCTAATTGGTCAGATTTTAGTATAAAAAAATAAAAATTAAAGACCCTGAAAAGAGCCCTCTAAAAATCCTTATCAAGGTTTTTAATTAGAAGTAATTCCGGTTATAATAAGAAAGGTAAGGGGTTTTTTAAGTAGTAATCGAATAAAGGCCCGGATTTTAATTTCAAAATCTAGATGAAAGCATTCACACTTCCGCGCGCGAAACTTTTCGCGCAACAGAAAAAAAGCTACTACTAGTTGGAATCGAACTGGCGATCACAAGAATAAAAGCGACGATGAGAACCATTAAACCACTAGCTCAATTAATTGAAAGTAGGCTTTATTCCTTATTCTAATATAGGGCGATATTTTCCGGGGAAGGAACTTGGGAACTTAGAAAAAATTTCGAAGGCAATTACCCGTGCTACGCCCCTACTTTTTTGGACTCGCCAGATAGACGGGTGCATTTGGATAAACCCCTATATGCCCGCTAACCTTTACCGATATGGCCCACTGAAACCAACAATCCTTCCACCCCTTGTCAAGGCCTACAACCCTTCCCCTCTCCTACACTTTCCCACTATGGTATTTTCTAAGTCGAGACCGTTGGTAACCCACAAGCCGACCGCACCTGACCATTCCTGCAGGCAGGATTGGACGCAAGAACTACTAACCCCCTTTTCAGCGCTCACGATGTAAACAACGGGCGTCGCTTAACTTGGTGGGGCACAGCCCTCGCCAAGACGCATTATGTTCTCAGTGATTGGCGGTGCGGCTAAACTACGTTATCGATAGCGCCTATTAATCTCGCTTATTTCGCTTGCTGGCTTGACACATGCCCCGCATTCAACGACATTCAAACGTTCACCACAAAACAGCAAGAGCACTCTGACACCACTCTTCTGGGGAAAGTAGCGAGTAATAAATGTACCCGCATTCTGCCAGGTACGTGCCGGCTTCTTCAAAATCCAACAACGTAAGTTCCTTCCCCCAAAGTCTTTGACAGTGCCTGGCCTCCCGGAACAACCCCAAGACCATTTCCCAACCCGACAGCATCACCGAAAATGGTCCGGAAATTCATCATTTGCTTTGTCCTCTACTTCGTCATTGTTTGGTGTCGGATGGCCGTTGTGGATGTTGTATTTCTGGCTCAGGACCGCAAAAACTGTCATCGAGCCGAAGACTCAAGAGAACCCAACTTCGACGACAAAAGCATGCGATGGAACCTGCAATCTTCGCTGTCCCTCCAACGAGGAGGGGATGACCCGTGCCACTACCAACAGAGGGATCGTGAATGTGAACTTAGTCTCTGCTTCCTTTAACCAAGCTAGTACCATTGAATTACCTTCCCCATTGTCTCAGACTTGGAGAGTTCCCCCCTTCCGGCCTTGCGTCCCGACTAACTCTATACCTACCTACTACGCTCCCAAAGTTTTCTGTCTCTCTTCACAGCCGAGATTATGATACCGACATCGACGACATTCCCACCAAAGCTCGTTCTTTGTTTTTGCTTGCGTCCATGAAACTACTACCTTTGCTCTGTTTCGCATTCATGATCAGCCGGTTCATTATAAAGCTTGACTTTTCTCCTTGATTTTCCTTCCTAGTATCATTTACTCCATGTCAGTCTCCGTAGGCTGGGTCCTTTCTTCCAGAGGCCCCTACCCCAAAAATCTGCTGTGGCTTCCTTGCGTGAACATTTGCTAACAGATATGCTTCTACTCAGCGCCAGGAGGCCGAGAAAATGGTACTCCCGCTTGAGGGAAAGGGAAATCCTTTGTCGGGTAGAGACAAGGAGTCCGCGCTGTCCTCCACAAGGATGTTGCCATTGTCACCCTGTGCGAGTGCCAGTCTGACCTTCTTCCATTTATCCTTCAACTCGGACACGGTGCAAGTCGGAGTCTTGCCCTTAGCCCACTTAACGATGGCGTTCTCGAACACGAGCCTTTGGATGTCGTCGACTTAAGACTCGAAGCCTGAGGTTAGCATGTTCAACGCTCACCAAAGTCTGGTGTTGGCGGTCATGACATCATCCAACTTGGTCTTTACGCCCTCAAACTTAAGGTAGTCTCCATACCGTCGACCGGCTCACACAAGGCGGCCACCCCCCTTCCTGTATAATTGTATTACTAAGTGCTGACAGCAGACATATCTTTGCCCTCGTAATAACGGTTCTCATAGCCGACATTGCAGCCCGCCCTGCCCGTCACAAAGCGTGATTGACGAGGTGTTGCTTGGATGCAGGTTGTCGCTCTTTTTCCGAATCCCCTTCAAATTAATGTTATTTGACGTTCATGCCCAGTGCCGTCACCACCCTTGTTCCACACTCTCAAGGCGCTACCTTGCTAAAGTGCACCGCAAATACCCAACAGTGAGTGACCTTGCGTCCTGCTCGGGGTATATAAGTGGAAGGTTCCAAGGTTCTTTCTGTGGTCCGCTAGTGCAGCCGGGAGTAATGCGAGAGAGCTCTTCGTGAGCTGCTACCAAGTAAACTGGAAGCTGCCGGTTCGATTCCGGTGCGGATCACTTTTTTTTGCACATTTCTCCTTTTTGCTTGAATGATTCCCGTTGGGCTTTCCGGTAAAGACAACGGAAAATAACACGATGTGTTTGTCCTTCATTTTGCAGGCTCTGGTGCAAGGATGACTAATACGACATAAGGCTTCTTGGACAACAAAGTATTCGACCATGGTGATGATAATTCTTCGAATGTTTTGCTTCTTGAACGGAAGCCTGACACTTCTTGGGTGGCTAATGTTGTGACCCACGGGTCCTTCCATCTTATCCCCACAACCTTTTGTTTTCTTTTGCCCCTCCTGACCCCGCCCCCCAAAGTTGAGTACGGATCGGTTGGCCTAAAAAAGGCCGTTACCAAGATGTGATAAGCGATCACAAGAATTTTACAACACTTCGGCCGGGGTCACTTGAGTATGAACAGTTCCGAGAGTGCCTCAAAGTATGGTCAAAGGTGTAGAAAAGACGCCAGTATGTATACATGGTAACATGGGCGAGAGCCGAGAGGTAATATACAAACCGTGACGTGTTTTGTTCATTATTACGACCACTTTGCCTGCCCAGCCACTGGCCTGTTCCCTTTCGTTTAGTCTTGCCCCGCTGGCCCGCCTCCGGCCCTTCTTTCTCCGTGCACTCCGGCGCCAAATCTCAACATCCCTACGCGTTTGCCTTTCTTCCCGTCCTTCTCTCACTCGCTCCTGTTGCCGTTCCATCAATAAACTTCTCCGTCGCAACGTGGCCACCCGCACCCCTTTCAGTTTAACTTCGAGCTCTTCCCATCCCTGTTTGGATTGCAAGAACTGCTCTCCCTCCAGCCTCTTTTCAGCTTGTCTGGAGCGCACTTGCTAATCAGTAGTTGCGCACTGAAAGTCTTTACCGAGTAAGTGTTCTTCTCTCCTCGCTTCAGATATAACCATTCAAATGCGGCTCTTTTGAATCTTGGAGCGCAATGATGGAGCGTATCGTAAACTAACAAGATGTTTATTACGCAGGTAATACCCCGTCCTGCCATATTATGGAGGCAACTGATGAAGCTCCGACGCGGAGCCCTCGCGATGAGAATCGCGCGACGGAGATTAACGGAAGCAAGAGATCGGGAGACGAGACACCCATCCCAAGTACATCGGAAATGGTAACGAACGGCGCAAAGAAGAGGCGGCTTGATGATGCAGGTGAAGCACAGGTCACACTCGAGTTGACGGAAGCCGACGATAACGATGGGGTCAATATGGGGGCGGCAGAGTTCGATGATTTGTCCGGTCATGCAGAAGCGTCGTTCCCACCATCATCAGCAATGCATGGTGCGGATGCGCAAGAGGAGCTCCCTCACATCATACAATCCATTGAGGTGGATGCCATTGAGCAAGAAGATGTGTTGGGAACAGCCTCCCCAAAACATGAAGCAACCAGTGGAAGCATGGCAGAATCGGAGGCGGCAAACGCGACAACTTGGAAGCGCTCGCCTAGGTCTCCTTCACCGCTCGAAGACCCAAGAATCCCTCTTTGGAAGGCTGAAACCAGGTCATTCAAGGGAACTATGTTCCGTCATAGCGAATCAATTGCGACAGCCATCGAGACCGCCGAAGCCGCCCAAAATGGGGATCTCTTCGTCGATGGAGCTCCCCAATTTGCCATATTCTGCGACGGATCCAGCGAAAACACTCGGTTTGCACAATTTCACGGAGACAGGGGAGGATACGGTGTAGTCTTTAGGGACCCCTACGAATCCGGTGATCATATTGGCATAGACCTTGCTCCCAACCGCCTTCAACCGGAAGTCTTCGGCAAAGATGACGTCTGGGGCGTGAAAGACTTTGTCATCTTGAACTGGTTAAACCGCAAGACATATAGTGCCGAGCATGCGGAAATCAGCGCTCTTGCACAGGGCTTGGAGGAGATCATCAAACGTGTCGACCGTTTTGGTCCACCTTTGTCTACGCTCAAGATCTTCTCGGATTCGGCTGCTTGTCAGAATCGCATCGCCAGTGGAATACTTGTTGGTGATGAGTTCATGTCGGGTGGCGTTGGCAACAACTACATAAACAATGGCAGCAATGTCAAAGCGGAGAGGAAGCGCAAGAGAAAGGAGGTATCTTTCAGCGACAAGCACACCAACCCCATTGTCCGCGCAATCATATGGCAGTCGCATTATCTCTTCGAGCGCGGGTGCACCATCGAGATACACTGGATCCCGCGCAACCTCACTTTTGGCGCATATCTAGCGGATCATGTCGCTGGCTTGTGGCGGGGGGAAGGCGCCGTCTTCAGCCAGTCAAACCTGGCACGCGAGCAAAGGGACGGCATCATAGACAAGCTGAGCGAGGAGGTCAACGAGATTGTACGTAGAAGATCTACACCTCCTCCTCACAACAAGCGATGGAACAAGAAGAGGAAGCTGTTGAGACCCCCCTCGAAGAAGAAGGGCCCCGGTCCTCCCAAGAACATGCTCCTCCCAAAAAAAGGGTCAAGCAACAAGGCTGGCAAGAAGCCCCCCCGTTCGGTCAACATCCTCAACGCCCGACGATCCTTTGCCTTTCGCCCCTCTCCGTCACCATACCGCCAAGCTCCTTCTTCTTCTTCTTCCTCTCAGTTGGTTCCGGCAGGTAACACATTTCCGGCTGCCGCGGCTTTCTCTGTCAGCGAGCCTTTGTTGCACCAAGATGAGCACCGCCCGCCCACGTTGGACACTTTTCCGACGTGGTTCTTCCCAGATGCTGTACCACCTCGCAAGGCACCTGCTCCGACACCCGGGGTTCGCTGGGAGATAAAGGACGAGGATGAGGTCGAGGTGGGCATTGTTGGGAATGAGAAGGATGAGGCTGGTGAGATGGAGGGTGGGGAGGAGGTCGAGAAGGAAAAGGAGCAGTAGGGGCACGGTGAGAGCAGTGGAAAGTAAGACGAGGAGAAATATTGAAAGTGGTTGTTTGTTGTTTCCGCTTGTTGTTTTTGTCGCGCCGTCAAGTAATAGGGCGCAAGGCGGCTACATGTATTTGGGGATCTTGGGCATAGTGACGGACTAAAGGCGTTTCTCTTCTTGCTTTCTGATGGAAATACCCAAGATTTGTTGCCTTTCCAAGAGTTGGTCGTTGCTGTTTGTGTTTTGTTTGTCATGTACTGTTCAAGTTGTACTCTCCGTCTATATACCTTATCAAGAGTAAACCTACCCGCACACCATCGAAACCTACCCGCACACCATCCCCCACATATATCAGCTGTCATGTAAATTATCGTGTTTTAGCGGTAAAACTCACTGTTTTGAATAGTCATTACCATTTTAATCACCTAGCTATGTAACCTAGAGTATGCTGTGACCTAGATTACTCCAGATCACTCAAATCTCGTGATCAACCTATGGTATTTAGTGCAATCTACTATAGATGCGAGAAAAGGGGGCAAATGTATAAGTTTGAAAGGGTGTAAATGTGCAAGTTTGAAAGTGCGAAAAAATTGACCAAGTTAGTGTAAATCGCTCCGGTTAAATCTACTGTGTACTCTGGTTAAATCTACGGTACCCATATAAACATGTGACCCAAACCCCTATGTCGCTAGTATATTAGTCCTATACGAATCTACTACAAACTGATATGCAAGTGCCATCGCCACTAAAATATAAGTTGAGGGTATACGAGTAAACGAAATAATGCAATTTCAGTAGAGAGATGCGATTTCAGCAGAGAGATAATTATATATAAAATAATATAAGTACTATCTACTAGTACTAGCTATAAGGGGGGTTCTGGGGAGGGTTCTAGTAAGGGTATTACTGCCCGTACTAGATCTAACTCTAAGTAGATAATTGTATTAGCGGGCTCTAATAAATTCTTTAATATATATTATTTATAGAGGGGGGTATTAAGGGGGGTAATATCCCCCTTTATAAAGTTATTACAGATTATTACTATTAGAAGTTATAGCCTTACTAATATACTTACTATTATAATAAAGGGGAGAAGCTATATTATAAACATAGTCTTCCCTTGGGCGGAGCTGGATATGCCCGAGGGAGGCAGTGAAACGCCCATCTTCTAGAATACTTATTAGTTAAGTTTTTAGAATAGGAATTTCTTTCTTACTAAAGGCCGTAGTCCTACGGCCTCTACCTAAAAATTTAAGTCTTTTAAATTTTTTTAATTTTTATTTTTATTTTTATTTTTATTTTTATTTTTATTTTTATTTTTATTTTTATTTTTATTTTTATTTTTATTTTTATTTTTATTTTT